ACACCTCTTGCACTCCAACATATTTCCCTGAGCTATTCATACTTTGCTTCATTTTCCTCATCAAAATATTATTTTTGAGAGTTAGAAATATTTTTTCTTTGAGTGCTATAGAAGTTGTCATCCATAGAGCTTAAATCTTTCAACACTACTTTGCTCAATTGTGTGAGCTTTCATTCTTGTGTTGTAAACTCAATTTCATTTGAGTGTTGTTCTTAAGACTTGTGTGACTCAAGGCTTGTTGTTGTAAGAAAGTGAGGCTTGTGTGATTCAAGTTCTCAAGTTGTACCGGTTTTTCAAGCACCCGTTGAAGCTTGAAGATTAGTAGGACTTTCGAGAGAGTCTCTCAGAGGACTGGACTAGCCACGAGGTGGTGAACCAGTATAAATCCCGGTGTTCTTCTTTCCCTTACTCTCCTTACTTTTTCCTGCGATAATTTTTTACAAAAAACGTACATTCTTGAAAACAACTCTATTCACCCCCCCCCCTCTAGAGTTGCACTTTTGTCTAACATAAACTTGGCTAGCCGTGGTTTTTACTCAAATGACGTGGTTTTTAAAGTGTCTCACTTGATTTCTTAGCCAAATACATCAAATAAGTGTTTTAAACACTTGGGTTTTACTTTGGAGAACTTTGGATTTTTCGGTCAGTTTTTGAATCGGTCGGCTAGGCCATGGTTCAGGCAAAAACCATGGGTTTTTGACTAACCATCCACCCAGCGATGGGAAGACTTACCCACCGATGGGTAAGCGGACCTTCAGCCCAACCGAATTCCATAACCATGCCAAACAGTGATGGGAAGTTCTACCCATCGCTGTTCAAGCCTTGGTCCAACATCAACATAAGGCAGAATGACCTTACCCAGCGATGGGGACTTTAACCCATTGATGGGAACCCAGCGATGGGAGGGCATACCCCTCGCTGGTTAGCCATGACCGTTGTAAATCATTTAAGGTTAATTCTTTCCTTGTTTGAAAGTCAACCTCCCACCCAGCAATGGGAAGCATTTACCCAACGATGGGTAGGTGACCGTTGGCTTCAGAACTGAAGGAAAAGTTGGTTACCAACAATGGATAAGTCCATACATCGCTGGGAAAGCCAATATCCTGGAGATCCACATTTTAACATCAATCCCATAAATCATGCCAATCACCCCTTTAATGCCTTGATCCGTTGGAGCCTATTTTGGCACTATAAAATGGGCTGTTTGGGTCTGCTTCACTCACCAATTTACTTCACATTACACATATCATCATTGCATCCAAACAACATCATTTTCCATAGCTTTCTAGAGCCAATTCGTGTGAAGTTTGAGTTGTTCTCGAGCGTATATATTTTACTCAATATCCACTCTTAAGGAGAGTCTTGTTCTTGAGTGTCTTAGTGTTGTATACACGTTAAGGGAAACTTGTTTCCCTTGGTTGTACGAAAGAAAGGTATTTTCCTTCGGGTTGAAGTCTTGGAGTGCGGCATCTCCGAGCAAGTGTTGTTGAGGCTCGTGGGACTCGAGTTCTCAGGTTGTAACGGTTGTTAAGCACCCGTAAGCTTAACGGAAGTAGTGTAGCATGTTGTGGTGAACCAGTATAAATCTTGGTGTGCTCTCTTTATTCTCTTTTTACGCTCGTTACTATTTCACGTTCTTAATTTTTTTTTCCTGCGATTTCTACGATCAAACGCTATTCACCCCCTCTAGCCTTGGTCACTTATTCTAATATATATATATATATATATATATATATATATATATATATATATATATATGAACCGGAATTTGACTTGGACGCCTTGGCTCCGTTCCTATAAATACAACGCGATACCTCTCATTTTAATCATCCCATTCCATCCCAACTTCGGGATTTCTTCTTCCCATCTCCATTTTAGTTTGTAGTATAGTTGTAGTAGTTAGTTTTGACGTATTTTTGGAGGTTTTTACTCCAGATCTGTTCTGTTCCGCTTTTACGGAGGTTGTAAGTTCTCTTTATTTAATAAAATGTTGTTTTAATTTATGTTTGCATAGTATGAGTAAGGGTCCGGATCTCTGAGTTCGAACTAGCTGGATTGTATATTTTGAATGTTAAATTAATGTTGGAATGGTTAGTCTTTTGTTCTTGCTTATTTAGTTAATTAATCTCGAAAGATTTAATTAGCTATTTATTGAGAAAATATTCTATGTTAAAGGGGCTATGATATTCAAGATCAACAGATTAAGTACAAACCTAGGAATAGGTGAGTAATAATAGAAATATTATTATTCCAATTATTAATTAAATATGATAAAGTATATCCAAATGACGTCCTCACCCTAGGTCAAGATCTTGCTTATACTGTGTAAATAAATTTATTTTTATTTTTATTCTGCTCTATTTATAATCGTTCCGAGAAAAATTTCATAAACCAATCCTAACCTTAGCGTAGTTAGTGTAATTAGACTAATTCCCTTCGTCCACTCCTTGAGAAACACGACACTCGGAGAGAAAAGTAACTCTTTACTAGGAATCATTACTACCCAAAAAATTACGATTGTCAAGTGGCGCTGCTACCGGGGAGTGGCACGGCATTAGTTTAATTTCTTTTGATTAGCTTGGGTGAAGATTGGTTATAACAATCTTCTCACTTCTATTTTCACCAACCACCCGTAAGAATTATTATGGATAACTCTAATAGTTATTACGGCCTGCCTTCTTACTATCAACCACTTAACCGCCCTCTGTACCAAACCTGCCAACCTTATCACCCACATCAGAACCCATATGATGATGACTACCAAGTCAACAATGAGTGTGACTACTATCCCTACCATGAGGAACCACCATATGATACCCTGTCTTGGAAGTTTGGATATTCTCCATACCGAGACACTGATAGGGATAATTATTATGAACCTCATAGTGATAACGATGACTATGACCAAAATGGGCCTATGTATGACAACCAACCCTGATCCACTCATCGAAGAAATCATAAGATGAGAGGAGAAAATCTTTTATTTCGACGAAGTTTTATTGGCTGAAGGCTCCTGGTACGAACCACCTTAAAGCGAACAAGGTGGCAATTTGAGAAAGAGCAAAAATTCTTGAATCAGTTCGGAAGGAAAGGGAGATTGAAAGAAGATTATGCAAAGGATTATAATTGATGCAGAAAATGCTGGACGACTTCCAAAGAGAGAGACTAGAAGTCGAGGCTAAAGCTGATAAATTAGTCAATGATCTCTGCAAGGCTGTTGAGCTTAAACGCTCCCTCCAATCTCAAGATCAAATGAGGGAGGTGAATGCTCAAAAAGAGGCTCTAGAACCTAAAACCAACCCTGAACCATTCAACCACCAGGTTCTGGTTCTAGAAAAATCACCCAGTTCAACACCATCACAGAAACTCGAGAGCATAACAACTCTCGCTAGGGCTACTGTGGTGATATTACCTGAATCCCTTCCTAGCCAAGTCTCAACCAGCATAGTTGTACAGAAAGTGGAACCAACTAAGGGACCTGACTCAGAACCACTTATGCTTATTCAAGAACAGAAAGAGGAGGAAGTTTTGCCTATGGAAATAAACGACCATCTCCTTAATTGTGTTGGAGACACACCTCAAGAGGAACTTGTTCTTGAGGAAATAGAGCCCACTACCTATGCCCAAGATTCTAACGTTCAAGAGTCTGAGGAGGAATCTATAGACGAGGAAATATCTAGCACAGAGGAACCAATAACGTCTATAGATAATCATGCTTCATTAGAAGACTTACACTAAACTTTCTTTGACTCTCTACTTGACGGGTGTGACTTTGTCTGCCCGAAGGATAGTTGTAGCCAAAAGAGTTGGGATGAACTTCTGGTAGGTGACACAAGGGACTCTTCCAGAGGGGTAAGTACGGTCATAATCATTCAACCACAAATGGATAGTCAACCGATTGAAGACAAAGAAGAAAGCAATCTCGCAATCAAGGATAATGATGTGGATCAATCAAGGAGACTTACGCCACCACCAATACATAAAAAGTCTCCTACTTATATCCTGTTGCCACCAAGCCGCTGGGATGAGTCAAGGATCCTGGACCTTGACCAAGCAAAATATCAAAAAAGGTGGCATCGGAAGAGAGTCAAAAGGGCTAAACTTTATGACTCTCAAATCGGGAAGTCACGGAAAAAATGGGTGAGTGTCGAGCTACGGACGTTAAAGAAGCACTTAATGGGAGGCAATCTGTCATTCATAAAATTATTTAAATAAGTTTTTGAGGTTATGCTTGCCGCACAAGTTTTGGGGGCACGAGTTATTTTGTTTTGGTTTCTTTGATTTTGCATATAGGAGACCTGTATGAAATACCTTGAAGATGAAGCAAACAAGAGGTCCTGCACGTGGAAAATGCAAAGTTTCTACCATCTTCAATTCTCATTTGATCCAGCAATCCTGGTTGAATCAGCTATTGAGAGGATATTGACTTCCGCAGTAAAGTCTCTTTTTCTCTACTATTTTGAACATGATTTGGATGTTTGATTGTTTTTTATTTTGGAATTTTATATTATGACTCTTAAACCCATTTTGAGAAAATTTCATGCATTATTTCATATTTACATACTATGGTTATCTATTATTTCAATCTTCATCATTGAATCTTGTACGTATTGAGATAACTTAGTAATTACATGTGAGCATTTCAACCATTTACTCTAATTCTGAATCACTTTTTAACCGCGAGGGCGCGGTTCCGTTTAAGTGTGAGGAGATAAGAGTTCCTAGTTGAAATGATCTTTCTAGGAATTGTCTTGTCTATATATTTGTAGGAAAAGATTGTTATAGAATAGTCATCAATTTTAATTGTTTGATTAATTAATCTTTTGTTATCACCTGTAAAAAATGGAAATTTTTAAACTTTTTGTCAAACTTTTATTTTTACTCTAACCTTTTTGGAATGTTTTCTAAATGATTTGGGATAAATTCACAATTTACTAAGAGTTTTTAAGATCAATCAATTTTGTTTTTAAAGAGAGTTATTTTCAAAGTATAAGCGATGACATTTCAAAGCATACTTTAGTGAGACCAAGATTCTTGTTTTAGCCAAAAAGCAGTTGGTTCTAGGTCAATTGATGAGGCTTGGTGAGTATGCCGAAAAGCATGCGGTTCTATATTGCGTGATGAGGCCTTTTGAGTGTTAGATTCAAAAAGCACACAGTTCTATGTCGTGTGATGAGACTTTCCAGAGAGACTATCCAAAAAGCTCGTGGTTCTTTGTCACGGGATGAGGTTAGAAATTTTTCTCGTGTCAACATAACAAAGTTATACCAAAGAGATGTAAACCCTTACATTTTGACAAATACTTTTGCGAGAACATGTTTTCCAATTTAGCCATTAAAGATTTTTTTTATCTTTAAAGTACTCTTACAAAAGTTGTTATCCCAAGGAAAGTTTGAAAAATTTTTGTTATTTAGGTTGGTGTAAAAATATTGGTTTGAGAAAATTTTTTTACATTTCTAACAATATGGATGAGAATCTAAAGGTTCATTTCTTCTTAACAAAAAGGTTGATGACTATCTTATTTCTTCATTCCTTCATAATATGTAGCTTAAACCTTTCCTCTGTAATTACTAATCTGCCTTTATACTTGTAGTTATTCAATTTGTTGCTTGAGGGCAAGCAACGTTTAAGTGTGAGCAATTTTATAAGCTCGTTTCGTTCTTATCATTTACATAATATTCTAAACGTTATTGAGTGTATATATTATTTAATCATCTCATAAAATATGATTTTAATGGATAAAACTCTCATTTTCGTTCTAAGAGTCATAAAATGGGATTCCACATGAAATCATCATAAATCATCCATTTTATGTTCAAATACTTGAGAAAAAGGGAATCAGTCATCAAAGGATCAAGATTTGGGCTTGAACGAGCTTCCGGGAGGTCAAAAACAGTGTTCAGGGCCAAAACAAAGCGAAATTGGGCCAAAATCACGAACCAACCGCGAAGCCCAACAAGAGAAGTCCCTGAGGCGTCCAAATTTGACGCTTGGCCAAGTTGGACTCTTGGGAATTGGACGCTTCAACTAAATTGCAGCCCAAGAATGACACGTGGCAAAACCTAGTTGGCCAGGACAGCTCAGGCATCCAGATCTGGACACTTGGACGTGGACACTTTGACTTGGACGCCTTGGCTTCGTTCCGATAAATACAGCGCGATCCCTCGCATTTTAATCATCCCATTCCATCCCAACTTCGGGATTTTTTCTTCCCATCTCCATTTTAGTTTGTAGTATAGTTGTAGTAGTTAGTTTTGAAGTATTTTCGGAGGTTTTGACTCCAGATCTGTTCTGTTCCGCTTTTACGGAGGTTTTAAGTTCCCTTTATTTAATAAAATGTTGTTTTAATTTATGTTTGCAAAGTATGAGTTAGGGTCCGGATCTCTGGGTCCGGACTAGTTGGATTGTATATTTTGAATGTTATATTAATGTTGGAATAGTTAGTCTTTTGTGCTTGTCTTATTTAGTTTATTAATCTCGAAAGATTTAATTAGCTATTTATTGAGAAAATATTCTATTCCAAAGGGGCTATGATATTCAAGATCAACAGATTAAGTACAAACCTAGGAATAGGTGAGTAATAATAGAAATATTATTATTCCAATTATTAATTAAATATGATAAAGTAGATCCAAATGATGTCCTGACCCTAGGTCCAGATCTTGCTTAAACTGTGTAAATAAATTTATTTTCGTTTTTATTCTTCTCTATTTATAATCGTTCCGAGAAGACTTTCATAAACCAATCCTAACCTTGGCCTAGTTAGGGTAATTAGACTAATTCCCTTCGTCCACTCCTCGAGAGACACGATACTCGGAGAGAAAACTAACCCTTTACTCGGAAGGTTTACACACACACACAGTGTGTCTTTAGCATGTTTAAATTAATATTTTATAGAAAACACATTCAAATTTACGACACACACACACAGATATATATATATATATATATATATATATTGAAAAGGAAGTTTTATTAAAAATAGAAAAGGATACAAGGTGGGCGTGGCAGGTAGCCCCAACAAAAAGGCCGAAAGGAGGAAATACAAAAAACTGCCAGCTCCTAAACTGCCAGATCCAGAAACGCCAAAAGTGAAACAACAAGAGAAGAAATACAATAAAATGCTAGCTCTTAATGAGAGTAAAAGTTGTTCGTCCTTAGTTACTTGGTATCCTGGTCTGGATGGAGAATGAAGTGCTGCGTCCCTACCAGCATGCTCTTGTTGCATAAAAAAGAGAACTACAAAGGCTATGTGTCAAGAGGCTGAATTGAAATCTGTTTGCACCATTGCGATCAGGCAGTTAAACTTTATCCAACGATATAATTTTTATATTTATCTGTAATACTTTTTCCGACATCATATTTTTGGGTGTTTGACTTTAACAGGGTCAAAATTGATTCAATTGACTTTTATTCAAAAAGGTTCTCATATTTATTTCGTATTAATTATTCTCATGATTTATTTCGATAAATCATTTCAAAGTTCATATCATAACAATTTCTTCATTTATCTTTGATTTGGGTCTGTACTCTGGTTTCCAATCAAGATCACACAATAAAGTCAATATATTGGATTTATCTCTATGAGATTTATCCAGATTGTGATATTGGTTATCAAAACACATTTTATTTTGACCCAAAGCCCAACAAAAATTTATTTTAATCAAAACAAATTTGATTAATTCAATAATTATTCGTTAATAATTTTAGGGTGTGTTTTGGGGCATTACATAAAGGGCCTTATGAAGTTTAAAAACATAATTTGGAAAATCCGAATTTTCAGAGCCGGGAGATTGTTCAACATAAACTTCTTCTTTCAAACAACCATTTAGAAAAGTACTTTTTACATCCATTTGAAAGAGTTTGAAGTTAAGGGCACTTGTAAAAGCTAATAACATGCGAATAGATTCAAGCCTAGCAACCGGAGCAAAAGTTTCATCATAGTCAAGTCCTTCAACTTGGCTATAGCCTTTAGCAACAAGTCGACTTTTATTGGTGATAATAACACCATTTTCATCAAGCTTGTTTATAAAAACCCATATGTCGCCCACAACGGGTCGGTTTTGCGGTCTTTCGACTAGTTCCCAAACCTTGTTGCGTTCAAATTGCTCCAGCTCTAGTTGCATGGATATAATCCAATCACTATCTTTTAGTGCATCTTCTACGTTCTTAGGTTCAAATTGACTAACGACTGCATAGTGTGCACAAAGGTTGTAATTGTTCCTAGTTCTAACTCCCTTTTCAATATCTGCGATGATATTGTCTCTTGGATGATTTTTTCAAGTGCTTGTGTGCCTTTAGAAGTTCCTTTTCTTCATTTTCTTCTTCTTGTGCAGGAATTTCCAAGGATTCTTCCTCCTCTTCTTCTTCATTAGAACCTGCAACTACCTTACTCGACCCAAATGGATCGGTCTCATCAAATTTTATATGCATAGATTCTTCTACTTTATGATTTGATTTATTATATACCCTATAGGCTCTATTATTTGTTGAATATCCAAGGAAGATTCCTTCATTTGATTTAGGCTCAAATTCGCCTAAGTGATCCTTGGTATTCAAGATATAACATTTACAACCAAAAACTTTGAAATAGGTAATGTTTGGTTTTCTACCTTTCCAAAGTTCATGAGGGGTTTTTCTTATAATAGGTCTAAGTAATACCCGGTTTAGAACGTAGCATCCCATGTTGACCGCTTCTCCCCAGAAGTATTGAGGCAAGTTATGCTCATTTAGCATGGTTCATGGCATTTCTTGCAACGTTCTATCCTTCCTTTCAACAACTCCATTTTGTTAAGGTGTCCTTGGAGCCGAGAAGTTGTGAGAAAAACCATGTTCATCACAATATGTTTCAAAGTTGGTATTTCGGTATTCTCCAGCTCTATCACTCTTAATGGATGTTATAGTATGTCCTTTTTCGTTTTGGATTTTCTTTCACAATTTAACAAATGCATTAAAAGCATCATCTTTATTGGCAAGTACTATAGTCCATGTGTAACGAGAAAAATCATCTACTATGACAAAAGTAAAACTAGCTCCACCCAAGCATTGAACATCTACGGGCCCAAATAAATCCATATGCAATGGTTCAAGTGGCCTTGATGTTAAAACTATTTTGATGGGTTTAAATGATGCTTTATGTGGTTTTCCGAGAGAGCATGCATCACAAAAACGAGGAGGTATGCTCATCATTTGTAGCCCAACAACAAGTTTTTTTGAGTAAAGTTTTCTTAAAAGATCGTAACTAGCATGTTCTCGTCTACAATGCCATAATATTGAAAATTCAAAAGAAGTAGTAAGAAAAGTGATTTTTGATTTGCTCAAGTCATTGGAATTGAACTTGTATAATTATCCATCTCTTTTAGCCTCAAAACTAATTTCATCTTTGTTTTGGCCATATAAAATGCAGGAATTTGCATTAAACTCAATTTTGTGGCCATTGTCACAAAGTTGGCTTATGCTAATTAAATTAAACTTTAGGCCATCAACAAAATAAACATCATTTATTAAAAAATCACTTGAAATACCTATCGTACCTTTACCAATGACCTTCTTCCGGGATTTGTCTCCAAGAGTCATTATCCAAGTAAATGTCCATCATTGCTGGCCATTATTCCTTCCACGAAGACATTATTAAGTCCTATTTAGGGATTGAAAAAGTTTAAGTCCTAGATTAGGTAAGTCATTATGTTGCAGTCCTATTTAGTGCAAATTTCACATGTGACATTGTGATATGATTGCGTTTGAAATATAGATTGTTTAATTACCTTTTGTTTCATTCTACATGATCTGAAATCTTATAATATATAAATAACATATATTGACCGACCTAGATACCCGTTTAAAATTTACTCATTATGAGTAAATTTAGAGATATTCTTGAAATGCTTCTCACTTAGGTAGTTAATGTATTTCTTTCTCTTTGTTCTGTCATTTTTTGGTTTGACGTTTCCTAAATGTGTTCTTCGAGTGCATATGTAATTATGTTACATTGTGTACTTAGAGAACCATTGGGAAATGCTGCTGAAATTTTGATAGGTCAAAGAAAATGAAATACATTTACTAGTGAGTGTGACATTTCAAAAATAGGTTAGGATGGTGTAAAAAGGACAATTTGAATAATGAAGAAGTGCTGCTAGATTTTTGTTACATAATAAGAAATAAAATATTGTGTTCCCTGTATTTCTTATATGTTTGTGTGTATATATAAAATGAGTGTTAATAATTTTGTTGTGCATTGTTTTGCATGTATTACTCATTTTCCCTTCTTTCTTTCTTATGTTATCTAAATTGTTTTGAATCTGTGCAGGTTTGGCAGACGAACAGAAGAAGAAAAAGGTTAGAGGTGTAGGGAAGTGCGAGAAGTTGTATAAGAGGAGGAGGGAGGGTCACCCGCCTATAGAGCTTGAGTGTGAGGGGGAGCCTGTACGTGGACCGTATGTTTCGGAGTTTACTAGGCTTGTAGGGTTTGAGGCCTGATCGAGAGTGCCGATTACTTATAATAATTGGCATGATGTCCCGAAAGACCTGAAGGCCACGGTACTAGATAGGGTTCGGGTACGTACCATTTTATGCATCCTTATCTGCTTCCTTTAATTGTTACATGGTTCTATATATAATAAGTTGTTGCTTCATTTTCTTGTAAGATATATATGTGATACCGCCCGATGGGGTTCGGCATGTCATGAAGGTTGCCGGGTCGAGATTTTGTGCTTTCAGTACATATTTACGAGGACATTATATGACGGATGGTGGGGATCATTACGGTGAGACTCCCTTTCGTCTTTATAGCTTCATAGAGCCAGAGCATTGGGAGGAGTTTCAGACCCAAAACGAGACCGAGGAAGCTAAGGTAAAACATAATTACGTTCTTTGAATGAAATTAACTGATATATAAATTTATTTTAAAAAATTGTTTTAGGCTTTGAGCGAGAAGAACAAGGATATACAGAAGAAGAATCCTTATCCGCACTTTATGGGGCCGGGGTGAATATGCCATGCTTCAGCATGAGTTGGTAGCTTCTCAGGCCACCACTTCTGCTGATATCGCTGGGTCGTCTACGGAGTTGGGTTCTCATCTGGGACGGGAGGACTCTTGGTTGCAAGGTCACACCCCTCGGAAGCAGCCAGAAGTTACGGACCCTGCACAGATGGAGATTCGTGATAGAATAGTAAGCATATAATCTACAATTACATCAATAAATTTGTTTATTACTTGTTTATTATTTGCTTACAGTTTATTTACTTCTTTTATTTCTTAACTGTAGGTCCAGCTGAAGAAAGAGGTCGCAGCCGGTACCTTTGTTCCAGATGGGCACAATGATGTACTGACTAGAGCTTTAGGGACTGCTAAGCACCCGGGGCAGACGAGGGGTGTTGGGTCATATTCGGGCTTACGTAAAGTTTTCAAAGGCAACATGAAGCCCCGTAAGCCTGAAGGTAACTATATGACTGAGAAGGATCTTTTGCAGCGTCTTCCTTCCCTTTTGCAGCAGTATGGACTATTTGTGTCCAGGGGTGCTCCAGACTTTGCATCCATGTCGTAGCACACACCTTCTGTAACACCTCATTATGGGCAGCGTAGTAGCAAGGCATCTACAGAGGGTTGAGTTTAAAGACGACAAATGGTCCCATCGCTACTTCGTCATTGAGTTCCCGGTTCACAGCCCCTTAGATCTGCCGGGTGTCGTTTTCCGTAGTTGTATTTCTCGGACAAAGTTCGATGCAGTACCCCTGGCGGAGGCAGCATACTACGCCTTGGGTCCTGACCCCATCCCGTTCAGTCCAATGACATGGCTGGGCTGAGTCCCGGCAAATTCTCAAGGCTATATCCGGCACTCTGTCTTCCTGCGCCCTCACCTCCCAGTCCACCCCGGCTCCGATCCGGGAGGATAGATTGGGACTCTATGACCCTTTAAGACTTTGCCTTCTACCAGAGGATGCACAAGGCTAGACTTGGGCGTTCTTTTCGCCCGCAGAGGCAGAACTTTTGCGTGAAAGCCGGACAGCTCCTCCAACCCTGCCAAGGCCTCCTAATGACGGTTCACCATCTGTGCCACATGCGCCCCGACCTGGGATGTGGGAAGACTATGACCTGGGCGAGACTGATGACTCCGCTGTTCGTCCTTCGTCAGAGAGAAGGAGCCCATGGAAAGGGCCCCACCTCCTTCTTGTTGACTGCATGCGTGCAATTGGCCCTCCTTCAGCGCCTAGCCCCCTGCAAATCAGTTTTCTTTTTCTTATTTCATTTCAAGAGACATTCACTTGTTTGGACCAAGAGTTTTTCCTGCGTCCCATACTAAGGAATTTCCTTTAATTTCAGACTAGGAATTATCGTTGTAATTCAAAGATACAACCTCCGAATTAGCAATCGATGAACTCCCCCATTTTATGGTTTCTTTTTTATCTCATTAGGAACCATTATTGTGAACCAAAAATGTAAATTTTGGCCCATCAATGTAGTCCTTAATGTTTATTTCTTTGCACTTATTCTAATGCAAGTACATATAAAATCTCATCTCCCGGGGTTTAGATGTGCCATGGGAGCTTACCTCATGTGTCCCTAACCTCCTTTCCTCCGGGTTAAGGCATAATCTTATCTACCTTTGATCAGTTAAGCTCCAACACTCGAAGTTTGTTTGCTCGGTTGATTTGTGCTGGTGGAATACTAAGCTTCAGCCCTCGAAGTCTGTTTGCTGTTCTTCCTGAATTCCGGATTGTAAAGGCCCTCAAAGTCCAATCCCATCCCTTCCTTCATATTCGACGGAGGCATAAACTTATCTACCTCCGGGGGGCATAAACTTATCTACCTCCCCTATTTTTAGTAGATGGCATAAACTTATCTATCTCCCTGTATTGTGGGTCTATCTCGCCCAGGGGTGCTCTCCTTCTTTTTTTTAAGAAATTTACAGAATAATGAAATTGTAAAGACACTTGGCTTTAGAGGAAAGAAAATTGTATTGAAACAAATATCTGAAATCCAAAAATAAAGTGCTTTACAAAACAATTTTACTAATAAAATTTGAACAAGTGTTCTACATTCCACGTCCTATCAATTTCTTTCCCATTTGGAGTCACCAACTTGTAGGTACCTGGGCAGACGATAGCCTTGATGATATAAGGTCCTTCATATTTTTTAGCCAGCTTCCCACCCTTAGTTGGTTGACTCTTCTCTCGCTTCCTCAGGACGTAATCCCCCACTTGGAACTCCCTCGGTTTCACCTTACTGTCAAAGTAAGATTTCACCTAGCGACGATAATTCTCTGCCCGGATTTGCACTTCATCTCTTCGTTCTTCTATGAAGTTCAGCTCTACGGCCTGATTCTGTTCGTTTACTTCCGGGTCATATTCCATTTCTCTCATAGTAGGGATCACTGTCTCAGCGGGAGCCCGGGCTTCGAAACCATAGGCTAAGCCAAAGGGAGTGTCACCCGTAGCCCTCCTTAGAGTTGTTCTGTACGTCCACAGGATTCTGGGTAATTCCTCCACCCACTTGCCTCCTTCTGAAAACAGCTTTTTTTTAATTCCACTTATGATTGTTCTGTTGACATTCTCCACCTGTCCATTAGCCTGAGGGTAGGCTACAGACACTTTTGTATGCTGAATTCCCCACGTTTTGAGGAAGTCTTGCAATTCCGCCTCCTCAAACTGAGTTCCGTTGTCGGATATGATCTGCTTCGGGACCCCAAACCTACAAAGTATGTTGGTTCCCACGAAGTCAATAATCTGCTTCCCGGTTATCCCGGCAAGTGGTTAAGCTTCCACCCATTTGGTAAAGTAGTCAATGGTCACCACTATCCACCTTGCCTGTCCAACCCCTTTTGGCAGGGCTCCCACAATGTCAATCCCCCATCTTGAGAAGGGAATCATAGAGTTGATGGTGCGTAGTTCGTGGCTGGCCTCCCGGGCATATTCTGGAATTGTTGACACGTTGGGCACTTGCGCACATACTCCTCGCAATCCTTCCTCATTGTGGGCCAGAAATATCCCTGGATTATTGCTCTTCCGGAGATAGAGTATGGGCCCTGATGTGCAGCACATACTCCTTCATGTATTTCTTCCACAAGCGCTTTTGCCTCTTCCGCCCTGAGACAGCGGAGTAGAACGCCATTGTAAGATCGTTTATACAGGACTCCATCCTGCACCTTGTAGGTTGGTGCCCTCATGCGTAACAACCGGGCTTCTAGAGAATCTTCAGGGGCTACCCCGTCCTCAATGTATCTGGCCAATCTGTCTAACCATTCTGGGGGGTCGGCTGACACCTAGAGCAATTCATCCCTGCTAAGACTCGGGGTTGACAGTTCCTCGACCGTTACTAATTTACTTATATATTCTGGTGATTTTGCACTGAGTTTGGACAGAACATCAGCTTCCGCGTTTTGCGCCCGGGGTATGTGTTCAAGCTTAAACTCGAACCTTCCCAACATTTCCAAGGACAAGGTTCGATATCTCTTCATCCTTTCTTCCTTTGCTTCAAACTCCCCAGTGATTTGTCCTACGATCAAGCGGGAGTCGCTGTATACCTGAACTCTGTATACTCCGGCTTGCCGAGAATTCTCAGTCCATTAATTAGGGCCTCATATTCAGCTTCATTGTTGGACACGCGGAACTGAAATCTGATAGCGTAATAAATCTGGAAGCTTTCCGCGGTGATCAAGACAATACCTGCTCCACAGGATCGGGACCCAGAAGATCCGTTAATGCTCATTACCCACCAGTCATCTTCTACCCGGGTCTCAGCCCAGGCTCTTGTCATCTCCCTGGCAGTACACTCAACCTGAAAGTCGGCGAGTGCCTGCCCTTTGATCGATGGACGCGTCCTGAATTCCACATTGTACTAACTGATGAAAACCGCCCACTTAGTCATTCGGGCAGATGCCGCTGGGCTCCGAGTAAGTGATGCCAAAGGCTCATTGGTGAGCACTACAATCCGGTGAGCCTGAAAGTACAGGGTTAATCTCTTCGCCGTCTAGAAAACCGCTAACATGGCCTTTTCCGGATTGGAATATTTTAATTCCGCGTCTCTCAAGGTCTTGCTGACGTAGTAGACCGGATGTTGAGCCCCGCATCCTCTTCCCTCACAATTACAGTACTAATGGCGCAATCTACAATTGCTAAGTATAGAGTCAGGAAATCTCCAGGTTTCGGCTTGGATAAAACCGGAGGGCTTGCCAGATATCTCTTCAATTCCTCAAATGCTCCCTGACATTTTTGCGTCCATTCGAAGGTCGCCCTCTTCTTGATTACGGTAAAGAATGGGTGCGCCTTCTCTACCAACTTTGAAAGGAAACGATTCAAGGCCGCCAGTCTCCTTGTCAGCCACTGAACATCCTTCGCCGTCTTTGGTGGTTCCATCTCCATGATGGCCCTAACCTTTTCCGGATTAGCTTCAATTCCTCTCCGGCTAACCATGTGCCCGAGGGATTTTCCACCCTGAACAGCAAAGGTACATTTCTTCGGAGTCAATCCCAAATTTACCTTCATCATGATTTCAATGACCTCCTCAAGGTCCCGGACATGGTCTCGGGCCTCTTTGGACTTGACAATCATGTCATCAACATATGCCTCCATGGTTTGCCCCAAGACTGCTTTGAAAATCTGAGAAACCATCCGGGTGTATATTGCACCGAAGTTTCTCAGTTCGAATGCCATTACTAAGTAACAGTATAGCCCCTCCGGGGTCATAAAACTGGTCTTCTCCACATCAGCTGGGTGCATCCGAATCTGATGGTAGCCACTGAAAGCGTCCATGAAGCTCATTAACTCAGATCCGGCAGTCTCATCCACCATCTGGTCAATGTTGGGGAGTGGGAACGGATCCATTGGGCACGCCTTGTTCAAATCCGTGTAATCGACGCACATTCTCCATGAAAGGGGCTTAGGCGCCAGAACTACATTCGCCAACCAACCCGGGTAGTGCACCTCCCGGATATGTCCAATGCTCTGCAAGGTTGCTACCTCCTTCTTCACGAAATCTCTCCTTTCCTGCGACAAATGCCTTCGCTTCTGCTTCACCGGTTTAACATCTCGCAGGACATTAAGGCGATGGACAACAATCTTATGATCCAGCCCTGACATATCAGCTGGACTCCATGCAAAGACCTTCCTAAACATTCTAAGGACTGAGATCACTCGTGACCTGAGTTCAGCCCCCAGGCCCTTTCCAATTCTGACCAACCTCCCCGGCGTGCCCGACTCCAGTTCTACTTCTTCAATGTCGCTGGCAACTTCTACTCTGGGACGTCTCTCCTTGGCCCTTAAGAGCTGTGCAGTCACCTCCCCCACTTGGGTGTCGTATTTAATAGGCTGTTTGGTTGCCTTCAAATACCACGCCCGGGACACTCTCTAGGATCCCCTGGCGATTCCAACTCCGTGGGGAGTCGGGAACTTTATGCACATATGACGAGGTGAGATGACGCACTCTAGATCTTCCAACCCGGGTCGGCCTAGGATGATGTTTGTATTGGTGATTATCCCTACTACAACGAATTCCATATCCAACTTCTGGGTGGCCTTAGTATCCCATATTTCAACCGGGAGGGTTATTACCCCCTCTGGCTCAATAGAGTCGCTAGTGAACCCGGTCAGCGGAGTCTTAATAGGTGACAACTCATCTCTTGTCAGACCAAGAGCCTTGTAAGTATCCATATACATGATATTACCAGAACATCCAGTATCCACTAGAGTTTTGTGGATCAGTAAGTCCATTATATCAATCGTGATCACCAGGGCATCCCTATGGGGGACTCCTGTTTATGGCAGATTAGCATTAGAAAATATAATTGGCTCAATTTTCAGCCTCTTACCTTCTGAGCCAGCACCTTATTGACCATTGCTGGGTTGGCCCACTTCTTCCGGCTCGTAGCCGAGTCTCAGCCAGTATTCCCTCCAATGATGAAGTTACACCCTGATGTCTCTTCTGGCGGTGCAGTGCGGACTCAGAGTCCTCTTCTTCATCTTCAAGCCCGATGTGGCGTTTTTCCCGGGCCTCGGCCTGGGCCACCTTCTTATCTCTACGCTTCCCATTCTGAGCGTTCCTAGAATTTCCCGCGTCACCATCTTGTACAAACTTCTTCAGATGGCCCCGTCGGATTAGCCTCGCCATCTCATTCTTCAGAGTGTAGCAATCCTCTGTGTTGTGATCATTCTTGCGGTGGTAGGCACACCATTTTCCAGTGTCCTCCACATTGCAAACCTTCTGGGAATAGGTTGGATAAGTCATGAGTCCCTGCTATGCATCATGGGTCATGACCTCAGCCACCGGCAACGTGAAGACTGGATTGGCATATTTATGCCTCTCTGAGGTCCTAGGGTTTGTGCCCTTTAGGCCATCCGGGAAGCCCTGCTTTTTGTTCTTGAAAGGCTTCTTGTTTCCCACCTTTTCTTCTTCTCTGGGAGTCTTCTCTTTCTTTTCCTCCTTTCTTTCCTCCAAGGTAATATACCTTCCTGCCCAGACCATTGCTTCTTCAAAGGTATCCGGGGGATGAGTTGTAAGATCACTATGAAGGAGACCATCCTGTAATGCCGCTGTGAACATGGCCAACCTGGATTTATCGTCGGTTCCTTCAACCTCCCTGGACTCTTTCCTCCACCGTATCAGGAAATTCTTCAAGGATTCTTCGTGCTTCTGCCGTATTGAAGCCAGGTGAGTGAAATGCTTCTTGGGTCGGCAGTTCCCTGCGAAATGTTCTAGGAACCGCAAACCCAACTCATCCCATGTTCGGATCGATCTGGCAGGAATGTGATTCACCCAATCTGCCACCTTGCTATCCACCGTCTGCAAGAAGCATCGGCACATCAATGCGTCGCTGGCATCAACGGCAATCATCACCTGGACATAGTTGTTTATGTGTTCCTGGGGATCCGACTCCCCATCATGAAGCTTAACGAATGGCATCTTGAATCCCTGCGGATACGGTTCCGCAAAGATCTCTGGGGCAAGGGGAGTATTCGTCCGAGTAGTGAATAGTCATCCCCTGTTTATCTTCCTCTGCATCTCCTGGATCTGTTGCCTCAGATCCTGGAATTCGCCGGCTTCCGGTACTTGCGGCCCCAGACGCTGTGGTGCTGGGACCCTGACCTGGCTCTGAACTTCGTCTTCGTTTAGGACCACCAGTGACCGCATCGGCGCTTGGCTCCCACCACGGCCGATTCACTGCCGCGGTTCGCGATTAGAGGATGCCACCTGACTGGTCTGGGGTCGTACCCAACCCTGGGGTGCTTTGTTCGGATTCTTCCCAGCCTCTCACTAACGTGAGCCTTCTGGCGAGATATCCTTTCAAAAACAGTTCCCCGTGGGTTTTCATTCCTGTTGCCAATGACCTGGCTCGCAGCCCTGGCCCAGTCTCCATTCACCTTACTATTCCGGGCCAACTCCTCCGCTCGGCGTCTAGCGATGGCCTGTCTCTCCCTCTCGACCTCCTCCGGATCATGAAGCTCCTAGAGGATGGGAGAACTCACAGTACGCAGAACCTGGCGGGGTTGCCCGGCAGGGACATCCCGGGTACCGGACGGACCAGGGAGAGCCTTATCTAATTGCTCCATAATGTTGGCCATCATGTTAGCCACATTATTCAACGCTGTCTCCAACCCATTGACAGGAACGATGATACCCTGCTCAGGGTGGTCACTCCTCACCGTCGACTGGGCGGAAGTAGCGGTGTTACGTCTCGTCCTTCGTCCGGCCATAATCTCACAGCCTTATCTCACAGTTAATCTCAATGAAAGCACCAATGATGGGATTAACCCGATCGGATGGCGGACCAAGAACGTAATATGAATCAGAAAGATCTAATCTCGTAATGATATTCTTTGATTAAGTGCAGAATTGCTTGAATCGTCCCCCTTATCATGGCGGGCTCTTTTTCCTTTTAAAGTACTTCTAACATTGTAATTAAAATTATACATAATGGGAGGAATTATGGAGATCATGGGGTTGTGATCCCACCTTTTTCGGTCTTGTTCTCTTCCCATCTCGTCCATAATCTGGTGGTGTGGCCCACGTGTCCCGTTCCTTCCTTGGACTTGGTCGTCTTGATTTAATCCATGATTGGGCCGTCCTTTTCCCATTCACCATGCGTGTAGTAGCGGGCTCGGCCCGTTACCCTCACCTGGCCTTATCCATCTTGCGCTATTATGGGCCTCTATTGGGCCTGGAGTCGGGTCCATCAGACCCGATATCCATCAACAGGCTGCTCCAAATGGTGGAGGTTTCAACTTCCGCACATTTGGGCAATAAATTTACAACAAGACTATGTCATTCTCTAGGAAGAGAAAATATAATCTTGGTGTTAATCTCAGTTTTGGGATAAATTTTATTTAGCTTACTCAAGTTGTTGACGATGAGGTTGAATCATTTGTTCAGGTCTTGAACAGATTCTCCGGCCATGGTTTTGAAGTTTTCATATTCGGATGTTCCTAAAGCTATCTTAGTAGCTTTGGTGTCTTTGTCTCCTTCGTGAGTGGCTTCTAGGAGCTTCCATGCTTCCTTTGCTGATTTGCAAGAGCTCACCCTAGAAAACTCATCTTGACCCAAGGCACAAAACAAAATGTTTAATGCTTTGGCATCCAAGGAGAGTTTTTTCTTATCGTCGGGAGTGAGTTTGTCCATTGGTGTAGGCACTTTCTGTTCACTATGGGCCATGATTAGTGACTATCCATAAATCATAGTCAATTGATTGAATGAAATTTTCCATTTGCATTTTCCAATTGCTGTAGTTATCCCCATTGAAGAATGGTGTCTTGGTAGTGCTTTGGGAGTTCATTGAATCCATGTGTCGTAAAAAGAATTGAAAGATGAGTTTGAAAAGATTAAACTTCTTGCTCTGATACCAATTGATAGTCGGTTACACCCTAAGAGGGGGGTGAATTAGGGTGTTTGAAGGTTTTTCGTAAAATAAAAAACTAGGCGCAAAGTAGTAGCAAAAAAAGAGCAAGAAAAGTATAAAAGAGAAAAGTACGACAGAATCGATTTTATACTGTTTCGGAAACTCACTACTCCAGTACCTCGAGACTCCTCCTCAAGGATTTAACCTCCACTAACTTGTTTGGCTTCACTAAGAAGACTCAAGCGAGGTTTGGCAAAAAACCCTTGCCAATAAGCTAATGAGAATTTGCAACAGTTATCTCAACCATTTACAACCAAAGATTTAGAGGCTATCTTCAACCTTACAATGAGGATTTAAAGGCTATCCACACCTTTTACAAAACAATGGAAAATGATTGTTGCTTCTCTACCAAATAATAATCAAAATGAGTTGGGTAGGAGAAGAACGAAGTATTAAATCAACAACAACAAAAGCCTATAGGCAAGATAGAAAATAATAAATAACAAATTCCCTTGTGTGTGAGTGCATAAAAATAATGAAAGCTTTATACTAAAAAAGAGTAAGAAAAATATGAACAAAGCTTTAAGAAACACTCAAGAATAGAGAAATAGGCTTTAGATATAGTTGGGAAGTTGTTGTATCATAAATGAGACTTAGAGGGGGTTTATATAGGAGTTTGGAAGAGTAAAAATTTGGTTTTTACTGTTGAAGACCGTTGGGGAATGATTGGGGGTAATTTGAATTTAAATTAAAAATCAGCTACAGTGATTACAACGGATCCGGTACCCTTTACGATAGGGGCAGTACTGTCCGGTACCCAGGTACCGTGACAACGGTAAAACCTACCGCCAAGGGTACCGTGTAACCCATGAAAATCCTTTGGCTCTGGCGGAACCTAAGGTCAAACGTTTAGGCCTACCGTTCCGTAGCCTACCGGTGGTACCCTAGTACCGTGAGTACGATAGGGGGTACCGTTTCACTTCCAAGTGAAACCTACAGTGGTACATTATATTCACTTGGTTACTGGCGGTACCCTAGTACCGTGTACACGGTAGCCAGGTACCGTAGGACCTGTGATATTTTCTAAAACTTGATTTTTATGTTTCGTTTTCAAAATAACCCAACTAAGAATATATTTGACATTTTTAGAAATAATATTTTGAGTGAAAGGGCATAAGTAAATCATTAAATATATCATTACCTTTACACAATTATTTCTAAAACCCGTAGGAGTACATCTCAGTGATGCTAATCAAGTTAATAGAGGTTTGGCATTTGATTTCTTCCTGCAAATGATGTTAGTAGCATTGGAAGACTTATTTGGCACATCGAAACAGATACGGGGTACGGCATTCAAGGCCAACAGATATATATAAAATATAATATTTCAATACTATATTTCAAATTGAATCTATTGAAATTAATTTTTTATGAAAATCTGATAATTTCTGTCATAATTTATGGTCAAAGTTTAAAATTTTGGACCATTAAAGTCAAACTTAGAAATTAACTTGTGGACAAGGAGATCATTGTACTACATATGAGTTGAAACAAAAAATAACGTGCTACTGAAAAAATAAACACATAAAAATTTGAAATAAATAGAGTACAAATTATTTTAGTAAAACATAAAATTTAAAAATATAATATCTAGTTTAGTAATTTTTATTTTTCAAACTTCGAATTCCTTTAAGTTTGTTTCAAATTCTTCCATAGTCTTGAATATGTTTCAACTATTTCCAACTCTTTATTTTGTACCCTTTCAAGTTTAATTTATTTCAACTTAATTCATTTTTTTCAATTAAAAGTAATTAAATAAATTAATAATTATAATATTAATTAAACTAATTGATACAATTTGATAATAATTGGTCTTATTAAATAATGAAAAGTAAATCCCAATATTTAGGAATTACAAGAAAGAGTCTTGATCATAGTAGAAGAAGAATTATGATAACAATATAATAAGAAATTAAAACAGTAAGATAAGGGAGGTAATAAATGATAATATTCTATTTCCTAACGAATCTATTTTTCTAATATCATCCATGCAAGCTGAGCATTAGTAACAAAGAGTTGCTTGGAGCACATGTACTAGAATTGAGCTGGCAGATCAGAGGCAATTTTGTGAGGATAGACTTTAGAAGTAGAGAGTCAGATCTTCGCAGCATGGCTAACGAGCTAGAGATTACGTTTGTTGTGTTTTTTCCTTAGCTTAATGAGAGTGTTGGGGATTGGAGCAAGGACGAGGATCTTTTTTTCTTCTTGTGTTTAAATAGTGATACGCAGTATGAATCTATTGATATTAAATTGAAATATTTGCACTAGATAGCACTAAAACTCAAGTCATTTCCCTAAATAGCACTTAAACTCTTTTTTCCCTAAATAGCACTTAATAATGTCCATAATGTTCAGTGATGACAAATATTTACTTGAATAATGACTAACGGATAATGACTAAAAGTGTTACATTGGAAAAAAAATACATGTGATACTATTTAGAGAAAGTCATTATGTTTTATTGCTATTTAAGTAAATTTCCTAATTAAATTTATACTCCGCGTCATAATTTAATATATATTTTCATATTTTATGGTCAAAGATAGAAAATTTTGACCAATAAAAAGCAAACATAAAGATAATTCTAAAATGAAGAGAGTATTAAAGAGAAGTTGTTAATTAAGCATTAAAATTAGTGGATGACATTGTCTTTATTAAAAAATTATAGAATATAACAAAATTTCGTTCCACCCGTAAATGACACGAGTTAAAACACTACTATATATATACTTTTAAGTCTTTTCTTTAATTGGTTTGCTAAACATTGATTGAATAATCAATCCTTTTTTATCATCGGAGTAGGGACAACGTAAGTGAGGGTCAAAAGTGGTATGTCTAGGATTAGGGACAATGTGAGCGTTTAACCTACCTAAATTACATACAATTCGGAGTAATAACGATTATTACTCATCAAAGTCATCAGTCATCATTAAGAATTAAGAGGGTAACACGTAATTATTACACTTATTCTCTCCGTCACATAAAACATTTCCTGTTTCAAAAAAGGCGCGCCCTTAAAATGAGTAATTTTAGTGTTATTTTTTTAATTATGATTAATCTATTCTACACATTTCATCCTACTCTTTTATAAAGTAAGAACAAAATTAGAAAATAACACCAAAATTACTCATTTTAAGGGCACGTCTTTTTTGAAACAGGAAATGTTTTATAGGACGAAGGGAGACATGAAATTAGTCAACATTTTTTATCCATTAGAGACATGAAATTAGTAACAACTAACAACAAACACCAAGAGTAAGAGAATAGGATAATGATAGGGTTACAAACAAAACATTTACAAAATGCATAAACTTATCGAATATGTAAAGTAATACTCCCTCCGTTTCATAAAACGGTTCTTGTTTTGACTTTGTGGCAAAATAAGGAAAGTGTAATTTTAGTTGACTTTTCAATTTCGCTCATGATGTGATGATAAAAGTAAGATGTAATAGTATAGTTCTAAGTGGAAAAGTATGATGTGATAAGTAGGGTATGAAAAAGTAGGAGTAAAAGTGGTTTTTTTAAATAGAAAAATGAAGTATTCTAAGGAAAACAAAAAAATAAAAGAGTAAGAGTTTTAAGAAACGGAGGGAATACTTCCTAATAATTCTCTCAAATAATTTTTAAAAAAATTTAAATACACAATTAGTAAGTTTGTGCATTTTGTGAGTGTTTAGTTTGTGATTGTAGTATTACTCGACACACAAAATGCACAAACTTACTAATTATGTATTTAAGTTTTTTTTTAAAAATTATTTGAGAGAATTATTAGAAAGTACTCCCTCCGTTTCTTAAAACTCATCCTCTTTCATTTTTTTGTTTTCCTTGAAATACTTCCTTTTTCTATTAAAAAACCACTTTTACCCCTAGTTT